AATACTAATTATAATTTTTTAGCTGTAACAGTGGGATATACATATCTAAAATAACTTAATACTTGACTGATAAAAATATTTGAAGCTATAACATTACCTCCTGCATTGATATTTGATATATTTGAAGCCAAATTTGTTAGTTATCCACTTGATGTTAGCCAATCTTTATACTATACAGTGTGAGCTGGAACTAGTAGTATAGCAGATGAATTCCCATCAGCTGGTACAGTATTTTGAATTTGAAGAGCTCCACCTCTAAACTGATTAATATTAATAGCACAAATTTGATTATTAGTCAATCTACTAAGAGTATTAAGAGTTACATGAGCACTATAATTATCACTAATATTTTCTAATTTCCAGTTTTTGCCTTTGATATTTATTTTATACCAGTCTTTTGTGTTATTCAATAGATAAGTTTCAAAAATATCATAAATTCTCCTTCACATATTATGATTTGCACCTGAATCATAATTAGCAGTCTCACATCATCATTGAAAATCAGTAAGAAAAATCTCTGGATCTTCTCCAGCCCACCCATGAAATTTTGGTGATTCATATCCAGCCATACCTAATATATATTGTTAGTTATTAATAGGTAGATTATTATGAAGTGCAAATATTTGCTGATTCAAATTCAAAATTAATTGTTCAGAATTTCAGGCATGAGTTTTCCACTTGCCTCATTTAAGATCAAGTTGAAGATCAGCAAGAAATAAATCATTTTGACATGTATTCAATCTAAGTTGTAATTCTTTTCCATGTGTCTGATATGTTTGTAATTATTGTTGAATTTATTAATTTAAGAGTTATAGTGCAAACTTCTCTCAAAAATTTCTGTTTCTCTTGCATTTTAAAATTCAGGTTAATAAACTATTTTGATTTAGATAATCTTGAAGATTATTAATCTGAATTACATATGTATTATAATCTTATTATAGACAAACTATCTGATTATCACTAGTATTATACTAAGCAATAATATTAGTCAAATTGCCTTGCAATCCAGTATTATATGCATTAAGCTAATCATATTATTGACATAAATCTCTAGTGAGTTATCTAATATCACGTAAGTATCTATTAATTCTATTAACTAATCTTTTTATAAGTATGCAAAGCCAATTTATTAGAATAAATTATGCTAAAATTCATTGTATATTATCCTGAACATCAGTCAAATAATTTTCAATAATTCTAGCTTGTCTAGTATGGGCCATATTATCTGATATTATATCTTGGTTCAGAGATTATTCACGAATTGATGAATTTTCACAGGATGAGATTATCCTAATTCTCTGCTTCAAACTAGATATAGTCTCATAATATTCTTGTAACTTGTTTTCTATATTAATAATATAATTATTATTATCTTGGATCTCTTTTTGGGCTTGATATAACTCTTTTCTTAAAAACAAGATCTCAGTCTGAAGCTTCTTAATTTCTTCATTAGATATTACAATAGAAAAATCTTTTTGAGTAATCTCTTTCTCACAATTAACAAGATCACACTCTAGTTGAGAAATCCATTTTTTGTTAACCTTACTATGAGAAATTTTGGTAGATAATTCATCTCTCAAAGCTTGATTTACCTGTTCCAGTTTCAATTTCTGATCAGAACTTGATTCACAAGATATTCAATTAGGATATAATCTACAAAATACCATGATTATTTTTTATGACATATTATATTAACTTATCTCCTAACTTTACTAAAATATAATTTATAGTGAATATATCAAAATGAGTCAGCCTACTATTATAATTAGCAGTGATGAAGAAATAGTTCTAATTTGCCAGTTAATTTATTATACCTACTAGTTACCATTCTAATACTTGAAAGTTATATAAAGTTATCAAGGATGAGAGATATCATTTTCTATATAAAAAAATTTGTGAGTGATTGGAGTATCAATAGCAATACCAAATTTATAAGCTTCCTTCAAAATATATTACTAGAGCTAGTTATGGGCAGATATCATATCCGAATTATATATATATATATGATCTCTTGTTTCTTACTCATGACCACTACAAAAATAAAAAATGAATAGCAGTATTTAATATAATAGATATGTCTAGCTGATTTAAAGCCTCAATCTCTCTCACATCAAAGAAAAGCTCAGAGGTTGCTAAAGCATTCAGAAAAATTTATGATGATCCCAATAATCCTCTTACATACCTAATATTTTTATAATATGATAGTGGAACAGAGTTTAAAAAAATAGTGATTCAGCTAATAAAAGAGCATAATGTCATAATTCAAGTGATTAGTGCATATAGCCATCAAGAACTAGCTCTTGTAAAGTACTTCAATAAAACTCTAGTGGAAATTCTTTATAAGATTCAATATGCTATTGAAAATATATTTTCAGATACTAAATTAATGAGAGTCTGAATTAAGAATTTATCTAAAGTAATAGATTATCTTAATAATTATCCTACGTATCTTATTAGAGCTTCTGAATCATTGAAGTGAGGGCTAGTACTAATAAAAGTAATCAAGTTGAAAAAGGTTAAATCTAAACTATCAGTATCACAAAAGTGAGCTATTAGAAAGAATGAGAAAAAATTAAAGAAAGATGATATGGTTTGATATCTTCTGACTAATGCAGAATGGAAGGGAGGCTTTAAAATGATATATCATATGACTGATCCAGTATTCTCACCTTTTATTCATCTTATCATAAAAAATTATAATACTGAAAAATGAGCCAGTTTTATACTATTTGGATGGTGAGCACAGTTCTTCTAGGGTATTTGTGAGAGAAGAGCTCTTATACGTAAATACTGACATGCTTCAACTTCCACTCCAAAGTATATTATCAGAAAATCAACACACTGGATTAGTTCACTTTATTTATATTACTAATAATGAATTTGATAAAGTATAACAATATACTAAGAAGTGTGATAGGACTTGTATTATGAAAACTGGATGGATAAATAATATAAATATATATCTCTGGTCATGTGAAAATGAATTCCATCTGTGGAAAGCACCTTATAAGATCTTGGTGCAGAAATTCAAATAGTGTCCAGTTTGTCTGTACATAACCGAGAGAAGTGTAAGATATATATTTGAAGATTTATTAGACAAGAAATTTTTATCATGTTCAGCCTTATTTTTAAAAAAATTACAACTTGATAGATATAATGAGGAACTAAAACTAGCTTTTGAATTTCAAGATATCTAACACTATCATCACAATAGTTTATATCACAAAAATCAAAATAATCTAGATGATCAAAGGAAGTACAACCAAAAAAAGTGAGATATATGTAAAAGAGAGGGAATAGATCTTATTAAAATTCCATATGATTCAGATATAAAGTCCTATATTCACACTACTTTGATTGAGAAGGAATATTTACCTATTTCTGATTCTTAAAAAAGCTAGCTTTATCAATATATTCAATATAATTTTCTTTTTATATAATAAACAAATCTATAAAGATAAGTAGCAATACTGTATAATAAATGATATCCATTAAACTTACCAGAAATACTAATCAAAATTTTCTCATATCTCACTATAGATGAAGCACTATATCCAATCTTATTTGTTAACTGGTTATGGTATTTATGCTCTACTCCAATATTATGGAGAAAGACTAAATTTACTGGTGATCTAAAAAAATTATGTATATCATGAAGTAAATTTAAAAAAGTAATATGTGGGAAACATAAACCACATGCTTCATATTTACTTTGACTTCATCTATCTAGTTGCAAGATCTCTAGTGATGTGCTATATGAGATCACTAAATCCTGTTCTAATTTACACCATCTAAAGATCCAAGAGTATTGTGATTTATTCAATAAAGTTATTAGTAAAATCACACAAATTTGCCATCTGAAATCTCTTAATGTAACATGCATCATAGAAAATATAAAATGATATGGTAAATACAAAAATATGAAGAATATAACTTTATGTAAAATCGCAAATTTATCTCCAAATCTACAATACCTAAAACTTGAATCTTCTAAGCTATCTGATATATCATTGAAAGAAGTTGCTCACTCATACATTAATTTGTGCCACTTCAAATTGGATTATAATGAGAAAATTACTGATGCATCTATAATTGAGATTGCTGAATTATGTCCAAAACTTCACACCCTAAGCTTAATTGCTTGTCTAAAAATAACTGATCATGAAGTATGCGCAATTGCTTCAGCACATCCAAATATGCAAAAATATGTATTGGAAAGTTGTGAGGGGATTACTGATATATCAGTTAAAAAAATTGCACAATCTAACCCAAACCTTAGATATCTTAATCTTAATGGGTGTGAACTCGTATCTGATAAGTCTATTTGTAAGATAGTAGGAGTGTTCGATTATACTGGACTATACGTATATTTGGAAATGCATCATCCAACACTTCTGGCATAATTTCATTAGTAAGATATTTTAACTGCATTTATAAACCCGCGATCAGGATAATCAGATTTTTTACGTATGACATTGCGCGTTTCTATTACCCGTGACATGTATTCGAGATGCGGAGCCGAAGTGCCATTTATTCCGAAATAGGTGCATACTACATCTCAATTAAGTAACAAACAAAATTTCGAGTGATACATGTGGAATTGTCAATTATCGGCGATATGCGCACAGACGATTTTATAGGTGATGCGCAAATTCGGCATAAATAGTACGAAGACATCATATTTTGTGATCTATTGCCTTGATTTAATATGAGATGTAAAGAACCAATGCCATGGATATCTGATGTCGAGACTTGACGTATAAAAACATGTCGAAATTGCTGGAGCCTCGGGTAAGAAATCAAGTTGCCAAAACAATCATTAAAGCCATCATTGAACAATCGCACCTCATTCAAACCGTCAATTAATCAATTAATCAATTTATCAATTGCGAAATAAATAACCACGAAAAATGCAACTCAACATTTCTGATATTTTTTTATTTGCGATTTTCATCGCTGTAATCGTCATCTACGAACTATATAATCGGAGCGTCTTAACAATGGAGATGATTTATTCTGTTATCCCGGAAAATACAATATTCTATGTAATTATCGCCGTAGTATTTATTTATCTACGAAAATATGTATCCCCACCTCCGATCCCAATTCCAACTCCAATCTCCACTACGTTGGATGCGGATATAAAAGAATTAAAACGAGATATGTTGGCTCTAAAAAATGATCATGTAAGAATAGAAAAGGATTTGGAATGGAGAAGTGAAGTCCGAAGTAGAGGTTTGTGGAACAGTTGCAAATTCACTTGTTCATGGTTTAATGAGCTAGCATGATTTTGCTGAAAGCCGTCTCAAGGTGGTTATATTTTACTAATCCACATTATTCCATATCTAGGGCAAGCATCTATAACAAGTCTTAGGTCCGAATATTCTACTGAAATCGAAACTCTCTGGGTTGAATTTACTGCCCTATTTGACGAGAGAAGAAAAAGAGAAAAATGTTCTCCCACGAAAATATATAATGCTTATATCTATAGAAATTAATCTCAGCTCAGCTACACTTGCCAGCTTTTACCGTCATCAGAAAACTCCATTAAAAACTTCGTTAGATAAAATCGAAACCTGGGTTGAAAAAGAAAACCGGAAAAAGATAACTTGATTATCATTAGTGGTAGTAGCAGTAATAACAATAGAGGCTCAGAGAGCCATTTCCCACGAAATAATAATTTTTCGAGTAGTAGCAATATAATTTTAGATGAAAATAATGATAATAATAGTGATAGCTAGTGAGGAGTAGGGAAAGGAACTGCCATCTTAAGACTTAGGGGTCTGAGCAGGTATGTTTTAACGTACTTTATTCCTCCCTCTTTGTTCCTACTCCACGAATAATTTTACAGGCCAGCCTTTTACATTGTAATTCATAGCATTAAAAAAATATTTTTAAAAAAATTCGCACGGCATATGGTTATACAGATATGTAGCCCCATGTGATCTCGATGAGTTTATATAAAATGAAGACGCGTATTCGAAAAAAATCTATCTATTGTTTTTATACTATCGTCTACATTAATAAGTTTCTGTTAAAGGTACAAGTATTATTTTGTACTCTTATACCATTTAGTTGACCTGTAAAGCCTTGTATGGTTTCGTACTTTCCTGGTGTTGTCACCTAAATTGGGACATTATTAAAAAAGCAAATGCATTGTCCGTGCGTGTGGCCTGTAAAGCCTTGTATGGTTTCGTACTTTCCTGGTGTTGTCACCGGATGATTACTTGCTAATACGTTACTGTTTTAGTGTAATATTTGCTATTCGAATAAAACTGCTAATACTATTTGCCTTTTTCTTTTTGCCTTTTGCAAGCTATTAAACTATGGTATGTATTTTCTCTTTTTCCTACTGTTTCGTGAAAGAAATAACGACCTATTTACTTACGCTTGTGATTAGGTTGATTGTAGTAAAGTTTTGAGGATTACCCTTGCAAGAGGATTCGGATTTGTCAAGTTCTTTAAAATTTTGGAATACAGGTTCTCTCAACGAGATCAAGCAGAAAGAGATCTGAAAAGATCACTGGAAGAGGTTGCGTCCGAAAATGGCGAGCTATCATCCAAGGCACAGGAGATGCTTCGCAAATTTGATACAATGATAAATAGTTCATACGTGGAACGGTATTGGACTTCGACTCGAGTAAACGAGGAGCGCGAAAAGACTCGTTCAGAAGAAATTATTTCTAACGAAAAAGAAGTGAGTAGAGTATCATACTTAAGTATAAATTTTAATGGTTTAATATGCTTATGTAGTGTAAAACTTTGAATACAGGAACAGCATTTCTTTAACCTAAAGTCAAATATTGCTATGGAGCATGATGTCGCAAGCAATTCTTTTCGAACACAAATTCTGGTTAGTTATAAATTAATCATTTTGTTAATGCATATTTATGAGAAGCGTATTGTTTAATGTTTTGGATTTTGTGAATCCTTCTGTCTGTAGGAGCGTCTAAATAAAAAGGTACAGATATGTATTTTTTTGAGAATCAGTAGAGTTATTTAATGTTACTACTAATATTTTTTTGTGCCATATTCATCAACATGATATTGATCTTTGTATTTCTGTAGGATTCAGTTGACACTTTTTTCCAAGATCCCTCTGATTAAAGGTCAACTAAATTTATCGAGAAACTTCAAGAATCAGAAATAATAAGAAACGAATCCAACAAAACACACGATGAGGAGGATAAAGTATGACCTTCACATTAAAGTGAATTTTTATTATTCATGGCAATCAATTGTTAATCATGTATTCCTTTTTAGGTTGAATCTGAATTGCAGAACTCCTTTTTCTGCACCTAACGATAATGATTCGGAATATATACCAAGGTATTGCATGATTATCCTTTGAATGGTATTCTTCAATTTTCTTAGACTGCAATTTTATTTCCTTTTGTAATACAAGCGACAATGACGAATTGACTTCCGATGAATCGGCTTCTGATACCGATGCATCTGAGGACAATATAAATGAGAAGGATCCCCCAAAAATTGGCAAGACGGCTTTTCGTAAGGCCTATAATGCTATCCCAAACTCTACAAAGTTGCAGTTGAGCACAGGCAGAATAGTGGAAGACATTCTTTTTGAATTTGTTAAAGACATGGACTATGAACAGTAAGTTTCTCAAAATTTAAATTCTTTTTATCCTGTCATTCACAATATTGACGATGATTTGATTAGCCATGCCCATTCATATATTGTTGACTTTGATGAAGATTGGCTAACATCAGGTGGGCGACCAACAGACTTGGCTCCAAATGCATCAAATGCCAATGCAGGAAATAATGTTATAGCTCCAAATATTTTTATCGGTCAAGTATTAAGTTATTTTAGACATGCATATCTCACAGTTACAGCTG